TATTTAAATTAATAAAGGGGTAGATGAATTATTTTTAAATTATTTTATTGATCACTCCTTTATAATTATCAAAATTAGTTAGTTATGTTTATTTTATTGTTAAAAATTTTTTATAATTAGAGATTATTTACTTAATAAGAATAATTTGATTAAAAATATTTTTTAATAAAATTTTTAGACTTAATTAAATGATTTTTATTCTTATTTTCTTTTTGAAACTGCAGTATCTTAACTACTGCAATTTAACAAAAATCTTATAGTTTTTTAAGTTATATTTATTCATTTTACTCTTTTTGTAAATATTTGATGCAAAACATTTACTTTGTTTAAAAATTTTTAACCGTGAAATTATAAGACAACAGACCAAATAAACAAGACAATGTAAATGAAACGACAGACATAGATACAGAGAAAGACATAAGGGAAATCTTTAAAAGAATATATATATAGCAGACAGTGAATCCTTAATTAATAAACTTACTTCAACACCCTCCACTTTTAGCTTCGGTAATTATAATAAAATTTTTATATTAGTTAAATTTTTCTAGTATTTATAAAAAATAGCAACATATTTAATAAAACATTCAAAGACATCTTAGCACTACAAAAAGATTATATAAATCAAAAAAAAATATTTAAAAACTTACTTAATTTATAAATGAAAAAAACCTAGCTATTAAATTAATCTTTCATAATTTATAAAAACTCACATGTAAATATTTTTTAGTGTATAATTTCATTAATATTATTTACGTAATTGTCATAAAACAACTTTTTTTAATTATAAAAAATAAAACAATCTATTAAAAATGTTTTATTAAAAGTAATAACATCTACTTATTCAAAGATACTCAAGTTAATGAATAAGAAACTAAATTTATAAATTTCATCCTATAATATTATTTATTGTATTAGTAGATTATCGATGTAAGAGTTAAAGAAATCTTTTGAATAGGTTTAAATTAAAAATTCTTTTCTTTGATTGGAATTAAATTCTTTATATTTTAAAAGAAAATAATATTAGACTTACTGGATAAAATAAATTTATTTGTTTTTAAACCTCTGTTTGTTAAATATAATTAGATATTGAAATTGTCTTGTTCTTGATTATAATCTTTTCTTACTTTAATATCTTTTCTTAAATCTTTTACAAAATCAATTAAAAATCCATAAAATGTTTATTAAATTATTTCAAGGAATATTTACAAAATTGATTAAATACATTTTCAAATCTAAGCAGTAAGGCGCTTATGACATTAAAAAATTAGTTTTATAAGTAATTAACTTTTTATATAAAACATTATCAACAAATAGGCTATATATGAGATTTTTATAAATATTTAATTTAAATTTAAATTGGTATCAAATTTAGTCTTGATATTTATTAATTGGAAAATTATAATTTTTTTATAAAATTTAAAAAAATTAGACCCATGATTTACAGGTTATTTTTAGGAATTATATTTAAAGATTGTTCACATGATTATTTAGCACATGAAAATTCTAATGTATTAGAAAATATTATTCTTAATGAAAACTTTCAAGAAACTGAAAATATGGAAAACTTTCAAGAAACTGAAAAAATGAACGAAGTGGTTTATGATAATGATTTAAATATATATCAAGATTTTGATTTTGAAAGTTTCGAAAATTTTTTACAAGAATGTGATAACAATGTTTTTAATCAAGAACAAAACTCTGCAAATATTAATAATGAATCATTTATGGATAATTCTAATACCAATAAAAGTATGATTAAAACAACAGAAAACTCTGAGAGAAAAACAATAAAGAGAAAAATTGAAGCTGATGGTTATTTTTCTGAAAAATTTTTAAAACTTTCACCAGATATTGATGAATCTTCTGAAAGTCAAAATACAATAAAAGAAAAAAATTGTAAAGATAGTTTTAATAATGAAATTTTTAAGTTTACAAAATTGAATCAAAAAAAATATGATGTTATTTTAACTTATTGTAAGAACATAGATACTATAAAACTAAATTTAAATAATCTTGTTTTTGAAATATTAGGTAAAAAATTATCAACTGATAATGATAAGTATTGTCATGATCTTTTTAAATCATTAGTTAACAATCAAACTGAATTTAAAGAAAATACAATTTATTATAAAGATTTTTTACTTGAAAATAAAGATCTAAAAATCTTTTCTTATTATGAACATTTACTTTTAAAAGTTGTGATATACATATCATTATACGAGAAAGATCATGAAAAAATGAAAAAAATAGATGTTTTAAATAGTTTTATTGAAATGTTAAACAGGGCAATGGACTTTATTAGATTTTATCATAAACTTAAATATTTGATCAATCAAAAAGAGAAAGAAAGAAAGCTTGATTTAATTGATGATTTAATTAAAACATTTAAAAGTAATTATAAATTAGAGAAAGAGTTAGATAAATCTAAATCTTTAATATTTGAAAGGTTATTTTATAAAAAAACAACAGATAAAGAATTTGAATGGGCAAAAAACTTTTTAATAAAAGATCTAAAATTTTCAATTAGAAAAGTTGATAAAACCAAGAATTATTTAAAAAATGATAAGTATGATTTATTTAATATAAATTTAAAAAAAATGGCACTGATAAATTTTTATTATATCTCCCTAGATTTCACTAATTTTAAAGTATCATTTAAGTATTTTTATAGATTTGTGTTAAAAAAGAAAAATAAAATGATGAAAAACTTATTAGGTGCACTAAAGAAATTATTTGAAGAATAATAAATTGAATTTATCTAATTTATTTATATTTGTTGTAGTAAAAAACAAATCTATTTGTAAAAAGTAATGTAATACTCAGTTGGTTAGCGATGTGATTAATTTCTATTAATCATTTAAATTTAATATTATCTTTTAAACTTTTTTATGAATATTTAAGAATAAGATACTATTAAACAAAGATTTTAAGTTTCTTAGAATTCTACGCTACACCTGTATATAATTAAATGAAATTTTTTTGTTTTTTTATGTTATAAACAATAAACAAAAAATACATATAAACATTCGAATGAAATTTATAAATGAGTATAGTTTAAATCATACAATATTTGAAGCAATGATTATGAGTGTGTTTTAAATTTTAAAAAGAATCATTGTATTAAAGTATAAATAAATTTTAATTTAAGTTAAAAATAATTAAAAATATTGTCTAAATCAATTTTTTTACATATAAAAAATACAAACTACAAATTAAAAAATTTTAAAAACGTATTTTGATTATTTAGTTTATTTTATAAAATTTTTTATTCTTAATAACGATAAAATTTTCATTTCATAATCAAGAAGTCAATAAAGTAATATTTTGATTAATAAAATCAAACAATTTTTATATTCAATAAAATTCTAATTTTTACTTATAATAAATATGATGAAAATAAATAAATCATTCACATATAATTTTTAACGTAAAAATTCTAAATATATAGATATTTCAAACGTAATAACATTTTTAAACTTTATTGACTAAAATTTGTTTCTTTAAACTATTCAAAAATTAAAAAGAATGATTCAAGCGGATAACACAATAGCTTAATAAAAAAAATTAAAAAACATAAGAATAATAATAAAAACGATTAAGTTTATTAATCTTCAGACTCTTGGGATGCAATTTCCAATTTAAGGGTATTAATAGAAGAACTAGAATCTTCATCAATTGGAGGATTATTTACATTCTCTTGTTGTTTATTATTATCTTTATTATCATCATCAGGTTCTTTTTTACCAGTTTTCTTTTGTTTTTTCTTATCAGGATCACTTATGTAGAAATATTCTTGGTTATTTTGTAATACAGTTCTATCAACTTTCAATTTGTCACAGTTATTTAAATGTTCAACTTCACAACGTACCATTGTCCAAGCAAATCTTCTTACTAATTCAAATAATGCCAATATAAAATCAATAAGAAAAGGGTGGTTAAAATTTTTTAAAATACTAAAGTCAGCTAAAGATCCATTATGACAAAAACAATTTAAAAGAGAGAATAATCTAGCAATAAAATCAAGTGACATTATGACAGAATAGAAAATACTTGAAAATAAATATCTAGTTCTAATAATTCTAAAATCAAATACAAAATCCCAAACAAGACCAAAAGTAAAGTTAGTAATTAGAAAAATATTTATAACAACCTTCATAAATATTTTTAAAAAACCACTACTTCCTTTTAATTTATCTGAAAAGATAGTGAGAATATCAGTTACAATACTAATTGAATACTTAATCACATTAAATAAGTGAGGATTGATCATTTTACTAGAGCTGTATCTTGTAACACATTGAATAATTCTAATAATTGGAAATACACAAACAATTACACCAGTACACTTTTTTATGTTTGAAGGATCAACAATATGAGAAATTGGTTGAGCAATTAAATGTTTAATAGAAAATTTAAGAGATTGAGCCATATCAATAAAAAAGAAATGTCTAAAAGAAATCTTCATAAAAGGTGTAAAAAAAGCCCTAGTGAAAACACCAACTAAATAGCTTCTAGAAGTAGTAAAAAGTAAATCAATAGGAAAAAGCAATAAACAAAATATAGCTAAGAAATAAATAAACTCAAAATTTTTCACAGTGTAATTATTAGCTAACGTTTCCTTTCTAATATCAAAGCAGTTAAACTTAGCAATCAAATAAATAGATTGACATAACACACTACTTAATAAGAGTATTTGATTAGTAAAATTAGAAGTTCTATCAAAATTAAATATAAGTGTGTCATTAATCTTTTTACGATTAAAGAAATCTAATAGAAAAGAGAAAAGTATAAAAGTTACAAAGAAAATATTAAAAGCTAAAAATTCAATAGCTTTTGGAGTATTACTAGAATCATTAGATATCATTTCTTTACTATAAAAATAAACAGCAAGTAAATTAAAACCAAGAAACAATCCACCTAGCAATGATCTATAATCAGTTCTTCTAACACCCTCTTTCATTTTTTTAAATAACTTGTTTGTATTAGAAAAGTCAAATACTTTCTTAGACAACTCTTGAACTGCAACTTTTAATTCTTGGATATTTCCTTCTGTGTAAATGTAACTTTTATAAAGACGATTCTCTAAGAAATAATCAATGTATTCACTATCATTAGAAAAGTCTTTACACTTCTGTGCAGCATTGTAAATAGCCTGGATATTTAAATCTTTAAACTTATAAATATTGATTAGAGTGTCTAAAATCATAAACAGTAATTTTTTCTTCTTTTCAAGTGCGTAAGAAGTAGCCATTGGAATATTTTTAATGAATTTTAAAGTAGAAAATCCCTGGTTAAGAACAGCATCACTATCAATCTCATCAGACCAGTCAGTAGGAAATTTCATATTAAAATCTGTATCAGTTTTATTGTATTCATCATGTATCCCCTTAACACATCCTTCCATGATAATCTTAAAATCTTCTAAATTCCCTGCATCAGTTATTTGGTTCATAGATTTGTAGAGATGTTTAACATCTTTAGCTGCCTTTTCAGTAAGCAAAACATAATAAGTATTAGCTTTGTTTAATTCCGATTCAAGCAAATGAACACATCCTTTAACACTTAAAACTTTCGGAGCAGTTCTACACTTAGTATAATTAACATAATAGTCTTCCCATTCACTCTTTATTTCATTGTTAAAATAATCTGTAAAACTCATCTGTTATTAAAGGGTTATAAAAATTCTTATTGATAAATCAATTCTAGAAAAATTAATTGAAATCAAATCAATCAAAATAAAAAAAGTAATTTGTTTGTTAAAACTTTAAAACATAACTGACACAGAATAAAAACAGAATTTTGAAGTTTCAGTATGGAAGGAGTAAATAATAGTAGTTCAGCGTATATAGATAATTCATTAGATGCAGGTGCAGTAGAACCATTTACTTGTAAATCTTATTATGAGTTGGTTGCAGATGCACATGCTAAGAAAGAAGATTATTACATTGCTAGAGTCAGATGCGTATTAGATCCTATGAATACCTACTATTGCTATGACGCTAAGCATTTATGTAAATTTATATTTGAGACTGTCGTGGGTCCTGATGGTAGGAAGATTAAGATTAAAAATTTTAAGGATCCTATCGTTGGTTCTGAGATAGCTGAGATTTGTTTTTTTAAGTTAAGGCATGAAATGAAGAACCCACTAAGAGCAGAACCTGTGGGTAATCATGTTACTTTCTTAGAATCAAATGTCTTCAGGAAGAGGATTTTTAGAGAAGAAGATCCATTAGATTCTTTAAGTGTTAATTTTCAATCTGAGGAAGATGAGAAGAAACCAACTTTCTTATCAAAACGTAAAATTATAAAATTGTTAATGTGTTTCATGGCAGCTATTGTAATAATAACTATCTCATTCTTTGTAATTATTCAATATAAAGCACATAGAAATAATAAAAAGTATAATAAACACAATAATAAGGCTAATGTTGATAAGAGAAATCAAACTCACAAAATAGAAAAGTCTCATAAAAATAGAATTTAAAATAAATTGATTTATTTATTATTCTTAGAAAGGTATTCTGTATAATCTACATCATATTCAGTGCTAATTGACTTAGTTGAAAATGGTTTCATCACTTTCTTCTGTTCTTTAGTTATTTTAGAATAATCTACCATATATTTCTCATCTACCTCATATTTTGGAATGTTTTTATAGTGATTATTACTCTCTCTAGAATACCTACCTTTTTGTTTACCAAATGGATCAGTAATATGTGATCGATTACTCCAAGACTCTTGTTTCTTGATTCTTTCTATCTCTTCTTTTCTAATTCTTTCTTCGTTTGCATTCTCACATCTAATTACTTCATTCTTCTCATCAATTGAATAATCAAATCTTTCTAACAAATCATCAATAACTGACAGCTTATTATTTAAAAATTCTTGAAATTCTTCAAGTTCGCGTTTTCTTTCTTTAAATAATAAAATATTATTTACTTTCCTAATTGGGAAATCTTTATCAATCTTTTCAAATTTTCCATTTAAATTAACAACCTTATTCTTGGCATATTCAGATATGAATCGATTCTTAAATACTGGTTTAGTTGGTTTAATTACATTAAAACTATTTACAATACGAGTTGGTTCAATTGATAAATTCTTTAAATTAATAAGAAGTTTAGAATCCTCTTTAATTGAAACATTTTTATCCTCCAATATTGACTTATCCTCTGATATTAACTTATCCTTTGATATTAACTCTTCATCTTCACTAACTGTACATTCTTTAACTATTTCGTAGATTGTTGAACTAAAATCAATATAATGGCACTTTTCTAAATAAAAACAGTTATTTTCTATTTCAAATGGAATATTATGAAGTCTAAGAAATAACTTAAACGTTTCTAATGAATCAGGTTCAATTTTAATCGGTTCATTCTTAAATATTAAATTCCAAAAATAATCATCATTTTCTTTATAACTATAAATATCGACATTAAAATTAAGTTTATCAACTGATTTAAGTTTAAGACCACACAATAATTCTTTAAATGAACTTTCATATAAATGAATTTTAGAACTATCAATTGATTGTACTTGTGCTCTTTTAATATGAAATATTAATTTATTAGAATCCATGTTTAAGCTATTTAAATTGATTAAAAAATAGAGTATGTTTAAATAAAGTAATGGTTGTAGATCTTTACATAATTCACTTAACATTCTCAAACACTTAACCATATTAGTTTTGATTTTAAAAGTTTTTTGAAGAGAAATAAGACTAGCTACAAACTTTAAATTCTCAAATATTTCAAAATCTTTTAGTATTTTAAATTCTAAACAAATACTTACAAAATCTTCAATTAAATTGTTCTTTTTAAGATTGTTACTGTTAGATGTTATTATTTTAGTTATTTCTGATCTTAATTGATCATTTGATGAAATAAAATCAATTTCATTAGAAATAATCTTAAGTACACTCTGATAAAAACTTAACTTAAATAATCTTGATATAACAGGAACAATTGTCTCTTTATTGCTCAAATACAAGTTATATAATTCATTTTCTTCATTCATAAACTGAACATTATCTATTGTATTCATATAAATTTGAATAATAAAAAGGGTTAAAAATTTTTATAAAAGTTTTTTAAAGAGAATTATTGGATAATTAAGTTTATGATTGTTTAAATAAGTTTCATGATGAGAAATAATTATTGTTTTTGTTAACGCAACTAAATTTAAAACTAATAAAGAAAATATTTAAAGAATTATATTTTTAATCCTTAATTTTAAATAAATTAATGATTAAGCAAAATGATTTATTAGGAGACAGTTATAATATACAGGAACTAACTACATAGTTAGCACAAAGTATAGAAGGAGGTGAAACATAACTAGTCAACAATTTTATTATAAAAAATATTTTCTTTTAGAATTTTTATAATAAATCTTAAAAAATTCTAAAAGAAAAATATTTGATTTAATCATTTTTTTAATATAATATTTATTAAAAATTTAATAATATGTTTATGATATTTTATCTAATTTGATTAAGGAACATTTAATTATTAAATGTTTTCAAGTAATTGTTTGATTGATATTTTAAAACGTTTTTAGTTTATTAATACAATTATTTAAAATTCTAAAAAAAGTATATTTTAATATAAAATAGTAAAAAAATTTTCAAAATTATAATTAAAGAAACATTTTAATGTTTTTGAAAATATAAAAGCATATATTTGTTATTTTACATTGATTTACGTTTTAACTATTTTACCTAAACTTAAAATTTATTATAAAAAATTTAAATACTATAAAAATTAGTCATAAAATTTTTAACTAAGTAAAATGAATATTAAAAAGATTAAAATTACTAAAGATTATAAAAAATAAATTGATTATAAAAACATAATTTAATGTTTAAATTACAATAATTATAATTAAAAATACTGACTAAATATATTAATATAGAAGATGAAATTTATAGTAAAGTATATACAAACTTTTATAAATTTAATAAACATGCTTATATAGACAGTTTTATTATTATAAAGATTAAATAATTAAAAAATAATGGAGAAGTAGTAAAAAAATGGAAAATTATACATTTTGTAAACAAGTATGCTGATTTAAAATAATTTTTGTAAATATATTTAATTATTTTACAAAGTAGTTAATAAATATAAATAAACTGATATATTGATTGTTTTATTGTAAATTAAGAAATGAAAGATTTTATTAAAGAATTGTATTTACAACAAAAACAGAATCAAAATTGTAATATTTTTAATTTTGAAAGAATTTTTTAAGTGTAAAAAATTTTTATTGGAAAATTATATATATTTAATAACGATTATTGTAATTAATTAAATAAATAATTGTTGTTTGTATACTATTCAATTTTTTGTATGAATCAAAAGAATTATTTTTATTACTTAAAATTTAAAAATATTTAATACTAAATTACTAAAAAACTCAAATATAAAAATTTTATATCCAAATACTAGTTTAATATAGAAATTTAAAAAAGTTAAAGACTCATTCAACAATTACGTCTATAATATTTTTGATCAGTTATATCTAAAAATTATGAAATATTACTATAAATTATATAATTTTATGTTTTTTTTCAGGTTAAAAAACTTTTATTACTTGAATTCAGTACTATTAAAATTTTATAATTGATATTACAAAATAAATATCAATTCTGAAAAAAAAATATAACACGAATAAAATAAAGTGAGTAGTGCTAAAAAGAACATATTAGTTATTGAGACTTTTTTAGTTGAAACATATCAAATAATATGATTTAAAGTATATATGAATAGAATTTAATGACTACTAATAGTGAGTTTAAAGAAGTATTTCATAAATTTAATCTTTGTGTATTTCAATTAGAGAAATAACTAATAATTTGTTTTATTTCAATAAGTAAAAAATTCCAATAAAAATTTGTAAATTCTGTTAAAATGTGTAAAATTAGGAAATAAAATGATTTTATCTGATTTCATTCCTACTCTTATATGATGAAAAAATAATTTGAAGTAATTTTTATTTTTAATCTTATTGAAAAAAAATATTTTTGATTAGTTTCAACATTATCTCTTTTTATTTTAAATCTTATTGAAAAAAAAACATTTTTATTTATTTTAACCTCTGTATATAAAAAATAAAAAACTTTTAAAATATTAAAAAATAACTAATATAAAACAATAAAACACATTATTTAAAAATTTTAATAAAAGTATATTTAAATTTTTATTAGAAACACTCATTATTAATTAAAAGTCTAAAATAAATTAATTTTATTATTATCAAAATTTTTCAAAACTAAATATATAAAATATCCTTTAAACATCTTTGATGTTATAACTTAAATCATTAATAATTCTAGTTATCAAAATTTTTAAATTAAATTTTACTTTTAAACATTTTATGGATGAAATAAAATTTAAGTAAGACTTTTTAAAAAAAATATTTAAACCCATAAAAATGATTCAAGATAACATTTCACTAAGAAAATTATTAAAGAATGAAATTAAGAGAATATGTACATCTGAGTCAATACCAACATTTAAAATATTAGTGTTAGATGAAAAGACAAGGGACATACTAACTGTTTTATACAAAGTATCAGAATTAACAGAGAATTATATTTGTTCCTTTTATTTATTATCAGCCAATAGACCAGATTCACAGGAAATACCAGCTGTATATTATGTAAGTTCATTTGAGGAGGCGGTAGAAGACATTTATAAACTAAAGAATTATAGTTATTATATAAGTTCCAGTAATCAATTAGCTAGAAGAGATTTAGAAAATCTGGCAGTTAAATTAAATAGTATTAAACAAGGAAATAGAGTAATTCAAATACAAGATACATTTACAGAGTTTGTAGCATTACAAAACGATTTATTTTCTTTAAATATTAAAGATTCGTTTATTAATAGTAATATTAATGAAACAGTAGTTGGACTATTTTCAGTGTTAACAACAATAAATACATCACCAGTAATTGTTACTAATAAAGATACTAATAATTCAGAAGTAAATGAAGTATTTAATTTGTTGTCAAAAAAGATAAAGAGTACTAAATTAATAAAATCAACAAGTTTTGATAAATCACTTTACATATTAGTTGATAGAGAATTAGATTTAGTATCACCTTGTCATCATGTAATGGGATATTTAGAGATAATAGATGATGTATTTGATATAAAATTAAATAAAGTGACACTCAATAATAATAAGAGCATTGATATTGATGTAGACAATGAATTCTTTATAAAAAACAGATTTGAAGATTTTCCTAATGTGGTTGAGTTGGTAGAAAGTGAGGTACATAAATATAAAAAGAAGATGGCCTTATCAGAGAGTAAAGATGCAGATGATATATCCAGATTACTTGAAAATGCACCAGAACTACAAAAGAATAACGAGTTAGTTAATACACATCTAACAATTTGTACTGAAGCTGTCAAAGAAATTGATGAAAGAAAATTAGATGATTATTACACAATGGAGAATAATTTCAATAAAGATGAAATAAGTGAATTAACTAACTATGGAACAGAAAGAGACGTAATAAGACTTTGTATATCATTGATAGGAACCAAAAATGAAGATTTAATAGAACCAATTTTAGAAAAAAGGAAAATTAATACAAAAATTGTTAATTTTGTTAAAGAAAGAACTATTAGAGAAAATACATCTTTTCTTACCAGAGGAATCAGAAATATACTTTTTAATAAACAGATACCAATTATCAGTTATATAGAAGATGTAATTAGTAAGGTAAAATCAGGGTCATTGGATTCTAATTTTAATGTATGCTACCAACAAAGTGATATTTTTTGGGGTGAGATAACAATTATAGTTATATTTGTTATGGGTGGAGTCTCATATTTTGAATTTAAAAAAATTAAAGAATTAGAAAAGAAACACAATGTTCAAATAATAGTTGGGGGAACAGAAATATTAAATCCAAATCAATTTCTTAAACAAATAGAACAACTTACTTTTAAAAAATAAAAATTTTAAAAATTAAACTTTCTGATTTGATCAATTAAATTTTATTTCCTTTTTGCTGGTGCTGTTTTGACAGGTGATATTTGAGACCATTCTTAGTTTTATAACGACATTTACAATTATTAAAATTACACTTAAATGGCTTACTAGCATCTTCATCATCAAATTTGTGTCCTTTCTTAAGATGGTAGTCAAGTCCATGTTTACTAGTATATGCTTTCTTACATCCATAGCTTGGGCAGGCAAATGGTTTTGATTGTAATTTCTCGAATTCATATTCATCATTTTGTACAGAAAAAGTGGTTGCTGTGTTATCGTTAATACTCGCATTTTCATCGTTTTGAGTTGTAAAAAAATCTAAAGAATTGGTTTTTGACAGTGAATTGCTGTGGAAGAGTATATCATCAATAAAGGTTCTGGTGTTTATCTTTTCAGAGTATCCAGTTCCATCAAGACGAGCCTCTTTATTTCTAAATTGCGGAAAGTCTTTATAGAAGTTGTTAACAAAAAAGTCCCAAAACTCTCTGTTCTCAACTGGAACGCGTCCCCTCCTGTTGTAGTATACAGCAATTGGGTCGGTTTCTTCTGATTCATAATCTTCAGTTATTTTGCAAGTTTCATAGTTTTTCATCATAAAGCAGGGGTTAAATTTTCATTTAATTTATAGTAAATTAGTAAGGAAATTCATTTTCTAATCTAGTAAATTGATCTTTAATTTCCATAAGTTTTCCAAATCCAAATACATGTCTTATATTATTGATTTGATATCAAAAATTTTAATTTAAAAATAAATTTAAATTCATTAGCATTAAATTAATTGGATGATCATCAGAAGAGAAAAGTTAATTAAAAAGGAGTATTCTCCTACTTTACCATTAGTTACTAATGACATTAGGAAATACACTTTTAAGGATGTTATTGGATCTGGGACATTTGGGAAGGTATATAAAGCTACACACAGATATTATAATTTTGCAATCAAGAAATTTAATTATAGAAAATCTGCATTACATGTGACAACCGTTAGAGAGATATTAAATCTAATGAAAATGAAAAATAAGTCTAACAGGATCATTTCACTAGTGGAAGTTGTAATAACAAATGATTGTGTATATGCGGTATTTCCATTAATGAGTAAAACACTTGATACGATTAAGTTTAGAAATATTAAGCATGTTCAAATGCTATTTAAACAAATTGTTGAGGGAGTTAGAGATATTCATAGGGAAAGAATAATACATAGAGATTTAAAACCATCTAATATTCTAGTAGATAAACATGAAAAGGAAATTAAGATAATTGATTTGGGGATGAGTAGAAATATCAGTGGTTGTATGTCTGGAATGGTAACAACGTTAATTTATAGGGCACCTGAACTCTTAATAGATAGTACCACCGGATATAAAACATATGGATTTGGAGTGGATGTTTGGAGTATTGGAATTATATTTATAACAATGTTAATAGGTAAACCATTATTTGATAAACCAACTGAAATAGAACAATTGACATTCTTAAAAGTTTCTATAAAAGAGAAATTTAAAGAAACATTTAATTTTATAAAAGATGAAACAATATTTGATTTGTTAGAAAATATGCTTAAATGGGACAGATTGGAGAGATTTACAATTGAAGAGATAGCAGAACATGAGTTTTTTAAGAAAGAATATTCATATGAAGATTTCTTACCTAAGCATTTTTAAATAACTAACTTTCAGTAATAATTTTATTAATAAAAATGAATTAAATTTAATTCTAAAATTTATTAGCCCCAAATAAATAGAAATGTATGATATTAATAGAAAACATATAAAAGAACTAATAAACAAATACAAAGATAATGAGAAGGTAGCATATGACTTAGAGTATGTAATAGAACGAGGGTTGAGATATATCTATGCCGAACTTCATGAAAATTCTAAAGAAATACATCCATGTAGAAAGAAATTTTCAGAGACAATACTCACCGGTAAACCACATGTATGTGATTCCTTTAATATCTTACTGAAGTTTAATAAATTAAATCACATAGATCCTAAATTCATAGGATTTTCTAATAAAAATATAGCATTGGTAGTAAATGATTCAAATGATAATAATCAAGTAAAACAAAAGAAACAAAAAAACCAGTTACTTTGTGGATATTTTATGAATAATGTAGTATTTAAAACTAAATGTAATGATATAACAGCATTAGAGGTTACGAAATCAAAAATATACCTAGGCACTAAGGAGGGTGTGTTAATATACTATGATCCAATATCATCATCTTCAATACTTGATCATAGACATAACGCACCAATAACATCAATTCATTGGATTAAACATAATTTAATAGATGATTATGTTCTAACAAGTTCAGAAGATGGATGTATTTATTTAGAGAAATTGATAAAATTAAGTGACCAATCAATTCAGGATGTAATTCGTGTTAATGAAGATGTTTATTTTTTTGTAAGCGGTGAAAATACGGTTGGAATATTTAATAGAGGAAAAATAAGCACATTTGATTTTCATAAAGATAGAATTATCAATATAAGTTATAAGAATAATATAGGAGTAACTTCATCAGCAGATGGTGTGTTAGGATTTACTAATTTAATATCACTAACTTATGAAACTTTAAATATAGGATGTTCTCATCATAAGAGAATTTCATCAACTAAATTATTGTGTTATGGATTAAGTAAGGTAGTTATTTACGATTTTTTAGAAAATAAAACATTTTTAAGTTTTAAGGATGCAATGTTCCAATGTAAAACAGCAGATTTCTATGAAAATTTGCTAGTTTACTCATTTGGTCAAATGTTATATTTTTATGATTTGCTGTCTAAAAAGAAACTTAATTTATGTTTAGATAGTTCTATAAATGAAATAAGATTTTCTCAGAATGCCAATTTTTGTATTGTTTGTACTGATAGTGAGACTATTTTAATTGAAATAAAATAATTTTATTTTTTAGTGTAAAAAATTTTTGATGAACAATTTAGAAGAATTACTGTTAATGGAGCTAGGTGTACCTGCTTTTACAGTTGGAAAGTATTTAATGAAAAATAACAACACATCACTAGAATTAATAAAGACAGGTTGTAAAAAACTCAAAGAGAGTGATGTTTATATTGGTTTAGCACTACTTGTAAATAAGAATATAGTTAGTCATAGACAATTTGAAAACACAACAATATATTTTATTAACACTTCCTTATTAAAAAGACGTTTATATTTTCCTTGGTATGTACATGTAATTAGTAAATCATATGATTTAGTTACTACTCAAAATTTTCAAGGGATTTTAATTAAAGGAGTCTTTAAGTATAAAACACATACAAGTGATATTATTGATAAATTGATAAATGATAATATAATTATAGAAATTGATGAAAGAGAAGAGAAATCAAAATTTTTTAAAAAGAACTTTTTAATATTAAGAGTAAAATATAGTATTTTAGATAGACTTATTATAGTTGATGAAATATGTGATTATTTAACTAAGAAGTATAATTCACTTGCTTCTGATATTTATAGGAATTTAGTTTTGAATGAAAGTTTACTTAGTTACTCATTTTATGATAATTTGAATGTTTTACTTAAAGGGGAGAATTTACCAAAAAAGATATTAATAAAACATTTAGAATATTTAGTTAATGATGGTTTAGCAATAGCAGAATTAGATACATATATTCCTTATAAGAAGGTAATAAATGTTAATCTTATTAAAATACACTTAACTAATCTCTTACTAACCTCAAGATATGCTAAAAGAATGGTTAATATGATTTATAAGCTAGGAGAAGTAAATGATAATGATTTAAGAATGAAATCACTAATACCTTTAGATTCACAAAAGTTAGTTATTCTTACACTTTCAGAATTAGGAATAACTAAACAGAAGATTAATTATCCATACAGACTGTCATTTAGAATAGTAAGATCACTTTTTATATCTTTTCCATACTTGTCTATTAGTGTTTCAAAAAAGATAGAAAATCAATTAGTTGAGAATTTAACTGAAATTAATAAGTTTTTTAAATTAGAAAATACTTTAAATATAAACTTAGATGAGTATCTTAATGAAATAATTGGTTTAGCAAAAGATTTTATGATTTTTAATTTCAATAAATTTTAAATTTTTTTGATTTTTTTACCCCAGATTTTTTAGTTATAAAATGGAAGCAAATAAAATTCAATTAAATGCTATTAAACAAGTCTTATTAAGTAATGAAATGAAATATGTTATTGCAACAATATTAAAATTTGTATTTAGTTTGTTAAATAACCGTTATGAAAGAAACAGAAGATTGTGTGTTAATTTAATAGCTTTTGCAATTGTTTCACTATTTGGATATGGATTGAAACAATTAGGCGTATTAATACTTATGTATATGGGGAATTTAGCTTTGTTAATGCTAATAAGATTATATGTTTACAATAGGAGGTATGTTTATGTACTATCAAGTTTTATCTTAGTTATAAACGTTTGTTTAATGATTGTTTATCAAATATTTTTAGAAGAATATTTTGTTGATAGCAAACTATTTAGTATTAATAGTGAGTTTAACTTCTTATCAATTAAAGGGGCCTGGGTTTTATTAGAATTTGATAAGAAAAGACATGATTTTATAGATGTGCTTAATTATTATTTTTTTATTCCAGGATTTATGACAGGACCTAACTACTCATTTAATACTTATTTACAGGCGAATGTTAGTGATATTAATATTAGATGGAGGATTTTAAAAGCTCTCACTACCACTTGGATGTGTGGTATTTTACACTTAATAAGTACTTTTATTAACTTTAAAGATTTAATTAGAAATTCTGAAAGTTTGTTAAAATTACTTGTGATATTAGTAATTTTTGGTTTTTTTATTAGAACTAAGTATTATTTTGTATGGCTTAATTCACACGCATGTATGCTTTGTTATAACATTGATAGACTCAATGTTAGAATATCTAAAATTGAAAAACCTACTTCTATTAGATTTATTTCCCAAAACTGGAATATTTCTTATAATTTATACTTTAAGGAATTTATATTTAAACCAATGTTTCTATTAAGTAATAATAAGACAACATCTGCTTTTACTTGTTATGGTGTATCTGCTTTATTCCATTCTATAATGCCATTTGATATAGTCTTCTTTTTATTGTGTGCGGTTATTTCTTATTATCAGCCACTAATTGAAACAGATACTTATTTCGATATTCTCACTACCATTCTTTTCATAATCATCATTAGTCCTTTTAAGTCTTTGGAAGATGTTAGATTCTGTTTTAAGTATATTTTTATGAAATCATTAATGTTTCTTACTTCTTATTTGTTATTCTGTGGATTCGTTAAGAAGTATCAAATTAAGACTCGTTTAATTTCATTTTATAACAAATTAATAATTAGAAAAGAATAAAAGATGATTTTAATTGTATTTTTTAGTTAGATCTGATTTTTTAATTTGTCTTACATCATCAGGTAATGCTACTATAACATCTTCACCTTTCAATAAAAAGTTTTCATCTACAACATCATCTGCTAATTCTTTGATTGAATAAGCGTAAATATTATTTTCTAGAATATCAGTTAGTCTCCATTTAATTAAATAAGCTCCTATTGAGCTAATTATAAATTTAGAACTTTCATCAAATTTAGCACAGGTAAATGTTGACTTTTCATTAGAAATTAAATGCATATGTTGTGGTTTTAACTGTAATCTCTTAGAAAACATTTTTTCTTTATCAACCTTATTTTTATAGTTAGTTATTAGAAGATCATATAGAAGAATGTAATTATCACATGTAATAAGAATGTATCTTCCATCCTTTGATACATCTATTCCTTTTGCATTAGCACCATATCCATTTATAAGTGTCTTTGCTCTCTTATTTAACTTATCATAAAGTCTCAAATCACCTTTACTACTGGCTATTGCTATGTCTCCGTTAGAATTTGACATTCCTACTGAAAAACCAACCTTGGTTTTATAATCTTTATGTTGAACTATCTTTTCAGATGTTCTAGGATCAATTCTAAATAAAGAATAGTCATTAACACCACATAAATTATTTTGTGATTGATGAAAATAATCATTTATATTTCTTTCCAAATCCCACTTCTCTACAACTTTTCCTTTTTCTAAATCCATTAAATTAAGAACTTTTTCATTATTTACTTCTTTAACAATTAATTGTGCATTTCCCATACTTAGTAATTTTTGTGGATCATCTTGAAATGCATTCTCAACATGACTTATGAAATTATCATTGTTAAATATTCCCAATGATGTCCCTCTTGTTACGTAAACACGATCATTATCAACTAACAAATTCTTATTTTTGTGTTTTGTAATTTTATTAGCAAATTCAAAATTTCTAATAGCCTCTTCAACTTCAGAATCCTCCTCCTCTTTTATTAGGTTTGTAAGAATATTCGAAGGCGGTTTAATTTCTCTTTTTTCACTAAATGTAGACATATTACTATATAAATTTATGTCTGTTAATTCTTTTTTAAGTGATTTAAATTGAGCTTCTGTAAACTTACTTACAAATTCTAAGAAATCTAATGAACTGTTAAAATTAATTGAATAAGTAATAAATGATTTGAACCTGTTATCATAAGTACTCCATACAAATGATTTTTGATCTTTATCTTGGTAACAGTAGAAGTTTTCTGTTATCTGAATATAGGTTATTAGTTTAGTTTCTGTCTCAACTACAAAATAATAATCTGTGTTAATTAGTTTAATTGATAATTCTAAATTATCAGATGATTTTACATCAAATACTTTAGTAGCCGTATTATACAAATAGAACTCAAATATCTTTTCTGGTTTGTTTGATTTTCTAACTAAATTCTCTTTCTTATAGATTCCCTCTTTTACTAAATAGTTTAATGTTTTTTCATTCAAATCTTTAATAACTATTTTTTGTCCGTTAAATATAAATGATAAATCTGTTTTAGAGTAGGTGTGGATGTTAAAGTCTTTAATGTTAGATTTATATGAGAAACCTTTTGCTTCAAATATTAGTATAGTCTCTTTTATACTTAAATTTGCATTCTTTACTTCATCTCCATCAACAAATAACTTAATCTTTATTTTGTCCTTCATTGTCATTTCTCTGAATTATGGGTATAAAATTATTTATTAAAAATATTTGTTTGTTTTAAATAGTTAGTTTATAATTTGATTATATCAGAATTATTTACAAGTTATAATTTTAAATATAAAATTTTAAAAACAAGGTTATATTTAATTAAAATTCTTTAAAAAAACAAAATTGTATTGATTATTTTTATTAATAGAATTATTATTATGTGTTTATTAATAGGTAATAATGTAATTATCTAAACATTTTGAATTAAAATATTTTACTACCAAAAAAATCATTAGGTGTTTTCAACTCATTATTAAGTTTCATTTTTATTTATTATAAAAAATTAAATATTATACTCTTTTATTATAATCATTTTTTTCAGTTTTTTTTACTAAAAATAGCTTTTTAAGTGAATAAGTAATAATAGTTGTCAACATTATTTAGTTTATTAAAAACTAAAAAGTTTAATGAAAACTTTTATTAAATACTTCAATTATTAATAAACTTATTATATTACAAGATTTTAATTAACCAAGAGATTAAGAAGATAATTGAAGTGAAAGCAATAACTATAAAGAGGAATGGGAACGTCTTAAAAGAAAATTAGGGATCCCAATAGCTTACAATAATTTTATTAATAAAAGTTAAAAAAGTATTTTTGATTTAAAGGATTTATTAAGAAAAATTAAAATATTTTAAATTAATCATATTATAATTTTAATAAAGATAAATGTTGTGATGAGAATCACAACTAGAATAATAGCTTTAAGCTATTATCATAACTTGAAAATTTTAATATATAAATTTAAAATTTCTATATTAATATTTCAAGCTGTAAATTTTTTTATTAATTTTAACCCATAAAATTAATTAATAAAATATGAATACAAAACGATCAATTTTAAATAATTACGTAAGCATACAAGGTGGTAAAAATCACCACAGATAGGTTTTTATATTCTGTTTTCAACATTTTAAGAAATATATTTAAATAATTAATTCTAACAAAGTTTTATTTTTACTAATCAGATACATCAAACTATAATTCAAAAAAACTGATAACATTATATTAATTTAGTAAATTGTTATAAACCAAAGTTTTCAACCAATAAGAAATTAGTTTCCAAGAAAATTTGTAGTTATAAATTTTAAATAAAAATTTTACCCATAAGAATTACAATTATGAGTAATAGTAAAGATACAGATAAGATAAATAAATTACAAATAAACAACTACGATGTCAAAGGCATAAATATAATAGTAAAAACAATCATTTAAAAAAACATGATTTTAATAATTTTACTTAAGAATTTTTGCTTATTGAATATTTTAAAATCATTTTGTAAAATGTTTTTAAATGATTTTTTTACATGTTTAATAATATCAAAGAAAAAACAAATCAATTTTTTGATCAAAAAATTGATTTGCTTATGATTAATTTTTTAAATCATTTAGTATTTATATTAAATCAAAAAACTTTTCAAACATATTTAACCATCAAAAACTTATTCATTTATTGATTTCGTTTTTATTTTTAAAAATTAATTTTTATAACCCTATGAATAGATCAATAATATTAAAGGCTTTGTTGTTTATTATAAAAATAAACGGCACTGAGGAATATTCATTACAATTAGAAGAGGAGTATAAGAAACAAGGAACTAATAGTAATGAACAGGATAAACTTAATGAAGACTTTGAATTAGAATATGATAAAAAGTTTGAAAAATTAGATGAATCTGGGAAAGAAAATTCTGAAACCAAATCTGATGATCAAAATCCATTTATAAAAAAATATAAATCAAGCTTTGATTTAATTATAAACGCGGATAGTGTATTTGAATTTTATTATTCAGAGAAAATTAAATGTATAAGTGATTATTATCATCCAATTATATTAAAAAATTCATAGAAAATAAATAAAAAAACCATGTAAATAAAATATATAATTTTATAATTTTTTTTAACCCATGAA